TCGCTGCCCAGGCGGGTCTCAAACCCACGGGCTCAGGCAATCCACTCATCTCAGCCTCCCGAAGGCGCGGGATTATAAGCTGAGCCACTGAGCCCGGCTGACTGCTGCTTCTTTAACGTCAGTCTTATCTGATCCTGGGTGTGAGAGCTGCCATCTTCTCTGACTTCACTGGACTTTAGCGCCATCCTGCTCTCCTGAGTAGAACTTTTAGGACCACTGCCTCTGAACAACTTTTCCATTCTGGCTGGGGAGCCCCTGTTGTAGAAATTTTGATTTTTTTCCCTGCTAACCTGAGATAGAGAGCCCCATCCATGTTCTAATCTCTCCCTTTCCCCAGGTGGCCTTTGTGGTAAAGGTGTCTGCTTCAGGGGATGGGAGCTGGAAGGGAAGGGGAAGTGAAGAGAGAAGGAAAGAAAGTGTCAACAGAACTGCTAACCCATGTCTGAAATAATAGTATTATAACAACCAAATGCTTGCCCATTTCACTTGAATGGCATAGCATGCCAGAATATTCAAAACTGGTGCCATCACTCGACCACATGGAAAATGCTTTGTGATTAAGAGGTTAGACTTCTGGCCCAGCCTGAGGGTGACAAGATGGATGATGAGATGGATAATTGGATGGAGAGGAAGAGGCAGAGGTGGCGATATTTGAACTGAGTCTTGCAGGATGCGGTGGGGTTGTGGGAGGGAAAGCTTATACCACCATGACTGGAAGACATGGGAAGTGTGATAAAGCTCAAGGCCGTAGGGGAACCAAATATTGGTGAGTCCTTTTCCTAAATCTTTGACACTTTTGTACTGTCTGCTGAATAGCCCATCCTTGTCTCAACAAGATGTCTTGTTGATGAACTGTTTCCTAGGCAGAAGCCTTGTCTTCCCTATTAGAAGGCAAGGCCTAAGCCTTGGAGGCTTTGGTTTTTTGTACTCCTGAAGTCTCATGGCGTCTTTGTATTGGGCATACCCAGGTATGCTGACTGACATGCAGCTTGGTCACTTTTTTTTTTGAGTCTCACTCTGTCACACAGGCTGGAGGTGGTGGCATGCTCCCGGCCACCACAACCTCGACCTGCTAGGCTCGGATCCTTCCACCTCAGCCTTCCAAATAGCTAGAACTCCAGGCAGACGCCACCATGACCGGCTAATGTTTTGATTTATTGTGAGAGATGAGGCCTTGCCAAGTTGCCCAGGCTGGTCTTGAACCCCCGGGCTCAGGGAGTCCTCTCACCTCGGCCTCCCAAAGTGCTGGGATTATAGGCGTGAGCCACCGCGCCCGGCCCCTAGCTTGGTCACTTTCATTGCCTTTTCTTCCTGCAGCCTGGTACAAGCTGAATACTGGCATGACCCCATAAAGGAGGATGTGTATCGCAATCACAGCATCTTCTTGGCAGATATAAATCAGGAGAGGGTAAGCACACAAACAAGCTTCTGTCATTGTGCATTCTTTTTTCTGTTCGAGTCATCATAAACAAATCAGCACCAACTGTTTACCCAAATTACTCTGGGCAGAACCTAGGACACAGAAATTCTGTTTTTTAGAGGCAGTGCTTATGAGATTCATTTCCTTTTAGGGAGGTTGAAATTCATTTGGCTTTTTCCCCTTTCGTTCTTTCTTTCTTTTTCCTAGTGTTGAGGCAGCAGGATAAGCTTAGTAGGTAGCGGCTGGGCTAAGCAGAAATTCATAGCTGCTATCTTAATAAGGGAAGCTCTCCTGATGGGTCTTTTTGGGGCAAATTTTCTCAAAAGAGAGATTTAACTAGAAAAGATACTACAGAGGGCACTGAGTATGTCCTGGACATGAGCATGGTTTGGGCAGTCTGGTAAATTACGTGGCTCAGTTTATATTGGGCTCATCTAGAGGGTTATTTTGGTTTTCTTTTTATTTTTCACTTCTGTATTTAAAAGAAAATGGGAAGGGGAAAACAAAACAAACAGAAAACAAAGCAGAATTGTATAGTAGAACCACCCAGCATTTGCAGTTTCTTGTTTTTGCCTTGGATTCCTCTGACTGTAAGCCTTTAATCTACATGATGGATGCCTATGGAGTGTGGGGAAGATTCATGGATGCCATGGTTGGTAGCATGCCAGTTAAATAGGATGGTAAGAAAAGGCTGTACAAGGTATATTCTGGGCAGGAAGCTGGGAAACAGCCCATATGCAGGGGGAAGAAATTTGGTGGCCCAGTGTCAGGGAGACTGGAGCACTGAAAGACTTTAATCCCCCTGTTGTTGCCTGATGGTAATGACCCTTAGGTGCTGCTGGCTTTTCTTTCAGGGTGTCAATGAATCCTACAAGAAGAATCTGATGACCCTGAAGAAGTTTGTGATGGTGAAATTCCTCAACGATTCCATTGTGGACCCTGTAGATTCTGAGGTGAGACACTACTTAGGCCACATGCCAGGAGACTACAGTAATGCCGGGAACAAATGGCATGAAAATATGGATACCTGCTGGGGGAAAAACCTTTTGGTCCCTTTCACCAACTTTTTTTGTGTGTTAGAGTCCCACTCTGTTGCCCAGTCTGGAGTGCAGTGGCATGCTCACCGCCACTGCAGCCTCGACCTGCTGGGCTCAGGTGATCCTTCCACCTCAACCCTCCAAGTAGCTGGAACTACAGGCATAATCCACCACATCCGGCTAATTTGTTGTTGTTGTTGTTGTTTGTTTGTTTGGTTGGTTGGTTTTTTTGAGTTGGAGTCTCACTGCTGCCCAGACTGGAGTGCAGTGGTCGCTCCCGGCCACCACAGCCTCGACCTGCTGGGCTCCGGCGATCCTGCCACCTCAGCCCTCCAAGTAGCTGGAACTACAGTCGTGCGCTACCACACCCGGCTAATTTTTTTGATTTATTGTAGAGATGAGGTCTCACCTGCCCAGGCGGGTCTCAAACCCACAGGCTCAGGCAATCCACTCACCTCAGCCTCCCAAAGGCGTGGGATTACAGGCTGAGCCACCAAGCCCGGCTTAATTTTTTTTTTTTTTAATTTAATGTAGAGATGAGGTCTTGCCAAGTTGCCCAGGCTAGTCTTGAACCTGTGGGCCCAGGCAATCCTCTCGCCTCTGCCTCCCAAAGTGCTGGAATTACCGACATGAGCCACTGCCCCCAGCTGATTTTCACATTTATTACTCAATAAATGTAGGAAGCAGAAATTCTGGGGAAGTAGAAAGCTCTTTGGAAAGATTAACTCACCCTCAGGATCCATTGGCTAGTCTTAGCTACTAGCCAGTCTCAAATTATTTTGGCAGTGTGTGCCATGTGTCTGATCTGACCTTATCTCCCCTCCCCTCTCCTGCAGTGGTTTGGATTTTACAAAAGTGGCCAAGCCAAGGAAACCATTCCCTTACAGGAGACTTCCCTGTACACACAGGTAACTGGCTGGGAGAGATATGTGTTGGGAGGTTGGTGCTCTTTTTCAACTCGCAGTTCCTGAAGCTGCTAGAGCCCTGCCCTGTATATCCCAGAGCACCAGGTGCTCATGAAGCACCCAACTCATGTCTGACATGGGCAAGTCTTCTTTGTTGATTGTTGCTCTAGCTTATCAGACACTGGTTTATAGAAATCTACTACATCCTGAAGGGGATCTATACCTCATGATTTTCAGGCAAGAACAAGAGAAGTCTCATCTTTTTTTTTTGAGTTGGAGACTCATGCTGTACCCCAGGCTGGTGTGTACATGATCATGGCTCACTGTGGCCTCAACCTCCTGGGCTCTGGTGATTCTTCTGCCTCAGTCTCCCAAGTAGCTAAGACTACAGGTGCATGCCACCGTGCTTGGCTAATTTTAAAAATTTTTGTGTAGAGATGAGGTCTTGCTATGTGACCCAGGTTAGTCTCAAACTCCTGGCCTCAAGTGATCCTTCTGCCTCAGCCTTCCAAAGTGCTGTGATTACAGGCATGAGCCTTCGCGCCCAGCCTGACTCATTCCTTTTGATTAAAAAAAAGGTTTAAAACTAGCTGCTTTTGTTGAGGTGCAGTCTGCCACAATTCCAAGCCCCCATGCGTGATGCAAACATGGAAGAGAGATGCCTTACCTTAAACCATTAATAGATGTGAAGCCCTGTTTTGAAATTAGGTACTGCAAAGGAGAGCTCTTCTGCAGGTTGAATGGGACTAGAGTTGTGAAATTTTGTTTAGCAGTAGATCCTGTTTCTCCAGAACTTGCAGTATTTCATCTCCAGTTCTGGGGCTTTCTGGATTTTATATTGGAGACAGATGCTTTCAAAAGTACAAAAGTGCTGCATCTTAATCAGTCACCCACTAGAATTCCTCCAAGTGATTTCAGAGATCATTTGTCCTTTTCTCTTGCATCTGGTTGTCTTACTTAGACCATGTAAAAGGGAAGATAGGGTCTGATTAAACAAAATTTTGGAGATTACAGCTAAGAACTTCCTTATATGTGAAACTCAAAACTAATTAGCCACAGCAGATCTTCCCAGCTGTAGGTTGTTGTGCGGCAACCAGGATATAGGCAATGACATTTTCAACCTCAGGACATAAAAGTGCCCCAGGTTTGTTATCTAAGGGTTGAATATGTTTTATCTAGTTAATGTTCTCCCATCTTTGGCTCAGTCCCACTTTCCTGTGGCATTCTGAGGCACCTCTATTTGTGGCTTGCCCACCCATAGGTGGCCCTCCAGCTCTAGGAAACTTTCCAGAAAGTGAAATATAAAACTCTGCTAGAACAGTCTCAATTGCATGTACTTTCTCAGTACTCTAGAAAGAACTAGGAGGCAACGTCCTTTTTGGCATTTTTGACAAGAAACCTCAGTGTTAATACTTGGGACAAATTACATCTTGATAGTATATCTCAAGTTAACATCCTTAACTGTTTTACTCCAAAACTTCGTTAAGCCTTTTGATTAATCACACCTTTTCTCTCTGCAGGATCGCCTGGGGCTAAAGGAAATGGACAAAGCAGGACAGCTAGTGTTTCTGGCTATAGAAGGGGACCATCTTCAGCTGTCTGAAGAATGGTTTTATGCGCACATCATACCATTCCTTGAATGAGACCCTTGCAGTTTGCAACAGAGCTCAGGGAGCCCTCTTCCAAACCACGTGAGACAGTTTCCTTCATGCCCAAGCCTGAGCTCCGATCCAGCTTGCAACTAATCCTTCTCTCCTGTCATCATCTAACATGCCCTACTTGGAAAGATCTAAGATCCGAATCTTATCCTTTGCCACCCCCCTATCACCATATGGTGTAGAATGCAAGTTTAATTAGTTAAAATCCATGGAGATTGTTTTACAGTCTTTTGATGTGGTCAAGCTGCCTTAGGAAAGGGAGTCTGCTACAGATCAATGCCAGAACTGTGCCCAGGCCCAGATGAGATTGAACAAATTAAAGCAATGAGATCGATTCTACAGGCAAACCTCCTCCCAAGTCTAGCCACATTTCATGCAAAGAGGTACCCAGGGCTGTGGTACTCACATAAATGCTTTCTCAGTTTTGCTGGTGATTTAACCAGTGCTTGGAAAAGTACTTAGTTATTTCTGCATGATTTCTTAAGGCTGTCTTCTCTTGGAGTATGATGCTTTCTGTACTGTCTTAGCAATTATTAGACAAATAATAATTTGGCCTACTATCTTGCCTTTGCAGTACTCATTTTGTCTCCTCCGGTAGTGATGAATTAGTCGCTCTGTCACAAAAGGAGGGAAGTGGCTCCCAGTTGGGTTGCTTGAGAGAGGAAATGTCCATCTTGTATAATTTAGATGGGGGGGAGGGATAGTAGAAGTGAAAAACGAGGCAGCTAGTTCTTCCCATTCCATACTTGACCAACCTGCCCTCTCTTAATATGATTAGTGGTGTGGATGCTAGTGTTACTCTACTGCTGGCTTTAGCGGAGACTGGGAGGAACAATGTGAAGATCAAGCTTTCTAAGTTCATCCCCCCAAAGTCATATTTACCAGCATACTCCAAACTGTTTATGATGTGTTCTGTGAGAAAAGGATTGTTTGCTCAAAGAGCTTAGAAAATATTATACACTCCCCTTTTCCTTTTGGGGAAATCAGTCCACATTAGAATATCTAAGGACTCTGAGAATTCCTATTACAGTAGACAAAACTAACCTTAACTTACCATTTCCTACACTATTTAAGCATGGAAATCATAGCCCCCACTCTGAAAACTTATTAGCACTTTTTGAAAGACTGTTTTGTAGCACGCCAGTTGGGATGCTTGATGAAAAGACCTTGTTGGTGCTGCTAAGTTTACCCTTTATGGTTTTTCCTTACTCTTGCTCAAGCCTTGTTCTTCAACTAAAAGATGAGGATTAAGGGCAAGAAGTGGGGGGATGTGAAGATAATTTTATGAGGTTGTCTAAAATAAAGAGTAGTTTTCTTATCCTTGGTGTCATTTTTCTTTTCAATATCTTTACATCTCTGTAGAGCAAATATCACAAGTAAATAACAAGCAAGTTTGGTATTAACTTTATTCTATTTTCTGTATAACTTTAAGTACATAAAGGTTTATTTCCACAGGCCTCAGGAAATGGGTAGAAGTCACAGGACAATCTCTCTTCCCACCAAAAATAAGTTGCATATTTTGGTAAGTGTCCTAGAGGGGAAAAACTGGAATTCTTCATTAGCAATGCTGTGCAAGATTCTTAAATAAATCAAGACCTAAAACCAGCCTGCAATGGAGGTTTTCGTCCTCTGTTCAGGTGCCTGGACAGAAGCCATAAGCATGACAGTGAAAAGGAGGCAGTGAAGATGGATGACAGGCACCTAGCTGGGAAGGAGGAAGGAATGCCAGACTCCTTGGATTGGTGTGTTTGTTTTTCTTTTAAAATTATCTTTGAAGGAAGGTGCTAGGCACGGATCCCAGAGAAAGAAAGGGTCCAAGACTCCTTTAACTGCCCTGGATAAAGGGCACTGCTACAGCAGCTGGTACAAGAGAACCTCTTATCTCATGGAGGAGGCAGAACCAGGGTGGAATGCAGAATAAGAGGAATGCTTATGGGAAACAATTTTGCTTGGAATGCTAGATGGCCAAGCCTCAGCCTTTGGTCCAGTGCAACCCTTGCCTTGCTTATCAACACTGAAAAATGAGTTTGGTTAGAGGAACCATCTGGAATCATACCAGCTCCTGCTACCTTCATGCTCATTATTAGAAAAAGGTTAGTGTGAACATTCTGATCTGTTAATTCCTGGGACTGTTTTGGTCTCCCAAAGGACTGTTGGTAGAATTACCCCCAAAGGTGAAAGCTAAAATGCATCGGTTCTGGTCTGTAGTTCCTTAAGAATGGACTGGCGGTGTGGTTGAGCTGATATGGAAAAGCTGCACCTTCCTGCAGAAGATCAACTGACCTGCTATCCCACCCCAAATCTCAGCCTGAGGTATATTTCAATGAAGGCAGGTAGCTGTGCTTCTCACCAGAGAAGCGGTTTAAGAGCAGAAAGGTAGAGGAAATCTAGAAAAGAACCATCTTGATACAGATTTATCCCATGGTGTGAAGGGAGGGCAAAGAACCCAGTGGCACTTCACTTATCCAGCAATTTCTGTCACTGTGGTGACCAACTTCTGCCCATTCCATAGGGTCTTAAACTGCTCAGGGACTGGAAACTCATTCTGCAAATAAATAAGAGATAACAGGCTTAAATCTGCGCTGAAGAATGAGCTAAATCTTCATTTCTCCCAGTGCTTGCTTCTATTTAGCCCTGAGAGCAAGGTAGGATACAATGAGAGACAAAGTGAACTCACCAAGCTATGCTGTGTTCTACTGTTATTTGCTAGTAATCTGTGACCTTGAACAGACTGTTAAATCTATGACGTTTAAGTGAGAATACCTGTGGCTTCATATACCAAGTTGACAAGGTGCCATGGCTCGCTCCCATTCTTTTTGGCTACCTGACCTCAAGAAAGGCAGAAATCACTGCCTTTGGAGCTCCACTGCATCGGATTACCTTGCTTCTATGTGCTTCTTTCTGGTAATCATGGCTGGGTTCTACCTACTCAGTGCAGAATGTTCATCAAGCAGCTTTCTCCAATGCAAGAAGTGATCAGTCCCTCCTAACATCATACTATTAAAGAGATCAAGAAACTTACAAAGTCTCCACCTTCTGTAGGAATGAGGATGTTCATCTCTGAAGATTTGGCACTGACTATTTCACAATCCAGGGAATTCTTACTCAGGTAAGCATGGCAGCCATCTGTTTTGTTGATGGAAATGGTTGGCACTTTACCCATTACCTGCAGAGTAAACCAAGAAAACTGAGTCCCAGCAGTTAGGGAGGACAGCAGTAAGTTGCAGAAAAAGCTTTCCCTGTTTCACACAATTCGGTAACTACGTGAAAAGCTCACAGGTGCACAACAGACATTAGATACTAAGGGCGGGTTGGGATGGGTGCTGGAAAGAGCTCATTTGAAGAGCCAACCCTTCTTATGCCACGTCCAAAGCAGCTCAGCTTACAGACTTAGTAGAATCAGATTCCCACCAAAGCAACATCTGTGAGTCTGCTGTGTCTCTTTCAATTAATTCCTCAGGGACCAAAAGAAAGAGCCAAATATCAAATTACCTGAACTTTGACATCCCTACTATTGATTATCTCCACAATGCCCACGACGTCATCGAATACCAGACCAAGTTTCTTACAGTTATCTAGGAGAAGAAAAGGAGCAGGTCGACAGTATAAAAGAAAGTAATACATTTAAGAATCTTTAGAAAAGGGTATGTAAAATGGTTCTAGCCCTCTCAGGCTCTAGGACAGAGCTTGCCTGGGACAGTGACAAAGACTTACCTACTGTAATGGAGTTAATTTTGCCTTTGATTTGCAATGTTGTATTGACACACTTGTATATGTAAGCCACCTGTTTCAGTTCTGTGTCATCAATCACCAGGTTGGAAGCATTCTCCTGATTTTCCTGTTAAAGACATACCCTAGAATTCTCATCAAGAAGCAGACGCTAAACAAAATAAAAGGCTATCCCAAACTTTTGGTGTTGCATGCTAAGCCAGAATGTTGCACTCATTTGGCTGAGCTCCATTTAAAAACCCTCTGTCCTTGTTCCCTGTCCCCACCCCACCCCCCATCCAGGTATTTTTAACTCACCACTCTCCATTTCTTGCCCTCCAGTTCAAGTAGAGCTGGTTCCTTCTTTGTAGCTGGTTTGGGTGAGGGGCTGGTTTGGGGTTTCGGTGCAGAGAATGGCTTGGGGCCACTGCGTACTGGACCACTCTGAGTCTTTAGGGCAGGGTTCTTGTGAGTCTTCATGTCATCAGATACATGTTTCAGGGCTGTAAGAATAACAGCTACCTTGTTTCTGTCCTTCAAACCAAGCTTTGGGCTATGGCAATAAACAATTTCTGCTCCGTAAGTTAAACTGAAAGCCAAAAACAGGCACAGTGGCTCGTGCCTGAGCCCACAGGTTTCAGACCAGCCCAGACAACTTGGTGAGACCTCATCTCTACAATAAATCAAAAAATTAGCTGGGCGTGGTGGCATGTGCTTGTAGTTCCAACTACTTGGAAGTCTGAGGCAAAAGGATCGCTTGAGCCCTGCAGGTCAAGGCTGCAGTGGCTATGAGCATGCCGTTGCACTCCAGCCTGGGCAACAGAGTGAGACTCCAACTCAAAAAAAAAAAGAGAAGCCAAAGACCAGAGCCTTTTGAAATGTTCCCTACAAACAATTTTGGAGAAATACTTTTATAATTTATCTTCTCCCAAAGGTTAAATTATAAACATGGAGTGTATGTGTATACTGGGGATGGGAGAAGGGATATGGATGTGTAAATGCACAGAAAAAGATCTACAAGGACATACCAAATAAATACTCACAAATATGTATGTAGTTTTTTAAAGCAACAGAGGAAGAAAAATATGTGGTATATATGAAAATAAAATTTTGTAAAAGAAAATAACCTCACCCATAGCTAACCCGACTTCCCTCACCCTCCCAATCAGTGTTGGCGTTTGAAACTCTCCAGTATTTTTTCTATAACTATACACATTGTTAACAAATTTGGTTTAACCAATTGACACTTAAAAATGTTCTCATGTTAACCTATAGTTCCTAAACACATCTTTCTTTTTAAGCAAAAAGATTCAATAATCTCCCTCAGCAGGCTCTCGTATACCTTGCTCTTGAACACAGCATAGTCTATGTTGATTATATAACCAATACTGAATAGCCTTTTTATCTCTACCACTATTTGTGGTTGTAGTTTAAATAACAGATTAAAAAGAAAATTACATGACTTACTGTAAAAAAAAAAAGTAATGGCTGTATAATATTCCATTAAGAGGACATGCCATAGCTAACTAACCATTTCCTTTTCTGTTGGATATTTATGTTGTTATACCACTTTTAGCTACTATAAACATCGTATAAAATTTTATTTTAGATACTTTTTTTTTTTAAGTTGGAGTCTCACTCTGTTGCCCAGGCTAGAGTGCAGTGGCACGCTCATGGACCACCACAGCCTCGACCTGCTGGGCTCAGGTGATCCTTCTAACTCAGCCTTCCAAGTAGCTAGAACTACAGGGGCAAGCTACCATGCCCAGCTAATTTTTTGATTTATTGTAGAGATGAGGTGTCACCAAGTTGCCCAGGACGGTCTCGAACCCATGGACTCAGGTAATCCTCTCACTTTGGCCTCCCCCAAAGTGCTGGGATTATAGGTGTGAGTCACCACACCTGGTCTTATTTTAGATACTTTTATGGGTAAATTCCTAGATGACTGGGAAACTCAAACTTCCACCAGTTGTAAATATTTTCCTATCAACATAAGGTCATTTTTATGCAAATTTTCCTTGTGACCAGTATGCATCCTCTGATACAGTTAACCTCCTGATACAATGACTTCCCAGAGCCCACGAGATACCATAAAAAAAAGCTCTGGGGAAAACTGCCAGCATTGTGCCTTGGCACAAGAGAGTACTCTATATATGCCACTTAACATTAAGTCACTTTCCCATGGGGCAGAGGGCTTCCCCCAACTGTAATCACCTATTTTAAATTTTCATTTAAGTCAGATTTGCTGTCCCTTTGGGCAACTTAAAGGACTGTGACACCCAAATAAATCATCCCCAGACAACCCAGGCTTCTGGTCTACAGACTAGCTATTAGGTCTCTGGTTGGTGAGGTCTGACCCAAACAACTTGCTGTACTAACTGTGTCAAAGTACTCACTCACCATGTGTGATGCTCTCCCCCTGATTAATCTGCGCAAATAGTGCTGAGCGGGAAGCTGAGTCATCGGAGCCTGAACTGGTGGGGACTGGAGGAGGAGGTGGGCCTGGTGGGGGAGGAGGAGGACCTGATCCAGCAGAGGGTCCAGATGGCAATCCACTCAGTTCTTTTGCCACAGGTCCCTGTAACAGTAAGTGCAGGTAACATAGTCATA